CCCCCCTACCAGCCCATTCACTGGGATTAACTGGGACTGTGATGAACAGGCCTGGACTCCACATGCTAGGGCAGGCTGCGGCATCTTTGCTTGAGTGCATAATAAATTCTCTCTATACATAATATAACTAATAAAATATATATCAGGTGTATGGCTCTGATCTAAACAGGTGTCTGCACTGCACGCTGAACACAGGGAACTAGAAAATAGAAGGAAACCAGCTTGAGTCTTTTACAAAAAGGTAGCAGCAAAAAGGTTTGCAATCAGCTGGGTAGAAAGCAGTCCAAACAGCAAACGCCTCCCTTGCTGGACACCTGTGCAAGGCAATAGGAGAGAATCCTCCACCCCTGCCCCATCCCATCGACCTGCTTGGGCAGGACGGGCTGGTTCTGCAGGGACCGGGGGCAGCACCCACGGCTCGCCCTGGACCACGGCTCGCCCTGGACCCACGGCACAGCCACGCCACGGGTTGCTGCAACACGGCACTGCACGGTGGCAGAACTCCCTGGGCAAGGCTGGTCCGTGCAACGGCGTTACCGGGGAGCACGCACGGGATCTACACAGGGATTTAAACATCACCCCAGAGCCCCCCCGGCTCCCTGCACGGCCAAAGGCAACTCAGCAGTTCTGCTGCAGCTCGGCGTGCCTCCGACACAGAGCAGGCAGCCTGCCTGCGCAGAAAGTCAGGGTTTTGGGCTGCATCCAGACAGATTTCAAAGCGTATTTCACTGCCGCCTGGATCTGCCTTGGCCTGTGAAGGGCGGCTTTTGTTTGGTTCTCTGAATATTCAGTGCTGTCAGGGCATTTCTGACCGCAGCACAAGAGCCTGCACTGCTCCTCACCCTTCTGTGCTGATGGGGAAAGAGCCGTAAGTCAGCAAGAACCACAGAGCAATTCAGGGTTTGCTTCCTTCCTCCTGCAACATCCAAAGTGGGGAACAACCTCACCACGGTGTGGGGACCCAACAGCGGGGGGCTTGGCTTCCTGCATTTAAAGCAGACTGCGAACCCCATGAGAACAAGTCCCAGGCGACGCCAGGGCTGCGAGGGGAGGATGGACGGACAATTCCCAGCCCTCCAGAACCAGCATCTCCCCGTTTCTCAAACATCTCTCGGCCGCAGACGCCTCTGGCACTCCCTTGGCCGGGCTCTCCTGCGAGAGGACCTACGTTACTACGGGTTAAGTGTCTCCTGGGGGAACAAGACGCAGCAGGACCGTGTCAGAGCGGGAGAAATCAGCAGAGAGCCCCAGTGCTCCTAAACGCTAATAAAGTGCTCGAACGCAGAGACGTCAGGTCCCTTCTGCCGAGGCTGGCACAGCCGGGACCAGAGCCTGGGACCAGCCCCCCAAACACCACCACCTCCCCAAAACCCATCCATCTGCTGGGAGGCTGCTTCAGCCAGGGAATCCGTGCTGGTGGCCACAAACCACCTGTGGTGGGGACCTGGGGTCCCCCAGCCCCTTCGCT